TGCGCGAAGGCTGTACGGTAGCAGTGTTTCTCCGCCGTTAAAGTTGTGAAAATTAGTGAAAAGTGGATGTTTAGTGAGCGGCCACGAACGGCTGATCGCTCAGGGTTTTTTTGTGTGTGTGACGTGCATACTGATGCCGGTAACTCCCACTACCATATCTGTCTTCCCACGCCACAAACGGCGTCTTACTGCTCAAGTTTGCACTCGAATATGAAGGAATGCCAGGACTTCGGAGACAACTCCCTAAATCGGCAATCACCGCCAAACATAAACAATGTTTCTCCCCCGGGTATGAGCACGTCTGTGGAGGCGTCGGGTGATGGCGCCCTGCAGAGGGCCGCCGGCGGACCTGTGACGGGCGCCGACGCACATGTGGCGCATGTGGCGCCCTCCTGCGGGTAACCGCCGTGCCCCTCCGCGGCCGTGCGCTGGGACACGGCGCCGACATTTGACGCCTGGAACAGGTGGCCTGGTGGGGGAGGTGCGTGGGGACGCCGTCCCGACCGAGGGAGGGGAGGGGGTGAGAGGCTTGGGTCCGGACCGACGTGCCTTCGCCGCCCGTCGGTCCGGCGCCTCCTCCGCGGCCGCTCGGGCGCGGGCGGAGCGTGGGTCGGTCGGCTCTGGTCCATGCCGTGCCGCGGTGGGCGGCGCGGCCGGCTCGGACAATGGCGCCGGCCTCGCCGTCAGCGCCGGCGGTCCGCCCGGCCGCGGCGGCCGGAGCCGGTCCGCCCCCGCCTGGCCCCGGCCCCGGCCCGGGCCGCCCCGCCCGGCCCGGCCGTGGCGCGGCGGCTCGGGGAGCCGGCCGCCCGGGCCAGGCGGCGGAGACGCGCACGCCGCAGCTGCTCCGCTCCTTGAGCCCGACTATCAGAACTGTGCGACTGACTCAGCAGACTGGACCGGGCACCCAGCTCAGGACGGCAGCACAGCCGAGTCTGTTGGGTGCGCAGACCGCTCAGACCCTGAGACCCTCGGCTGGATGTATCCCGCCGGCCCTCATCTCGACCTTTCCGACCCACCATCGGCCGGGGTGCTCAGACGAGCCTCCGCTCAGCCCTCTCGGCCTGCCGTGGGGACCACCCGGCCTTCAGCGGGAGAACCCCAGCTGAAGGCAGCCGGCCGGCTCAGCCGATCCGGCCGGCTGTAGCTGGAAAGCCTCGGCCCATTGGCTCGGTGCTGCCAGCTAGAAACCCGACCGCCAGCGCCACTCCTATTTAATGACCGTGGCGTCAATGATTGCGTTAGTGTTGCCGCTTGAGCGCTGCGAAGCCAAACGTTATCATTAGATTGCTCCCCGACGCGTGCAACTGCAGGGATCACAGCGTCGCGTCCGCTCTCGCCGGGCGCCGTCACCTGCGCGTGAATCGATCCAGGACCTGTGGCTCCGGTCCGTCGTCGGCCGTAGGCCTGCAGTGGCGCCGCCGCCACCTGCCGTTTCCTTTCGTTCGACCTTGAACCTCGGCGCACCGCTCCTAATCACGTCCAAATCGGTCCATATCGCCTCGGCATTGTTGGGCCGGCCACCGTCCGGTGCAGCTTTCCCCATTCACTTGCAACAGCCACGTCCGCCGCCGCTCCGGCCGTCACGTCGCCAAGCCCTTATCGCTGTCTCCGGGTTACGCACCGATTCAGCCGGCCTGGCCTCGTGTTGTCACTGTGCTGCCAAGCGGCCGCCTCGTTTTGCGATGCTGACGGCCTGCCTGAGCCGCCGTCGTCGGCGACTGTTTCTCCACCGTTCGCTGTGTGTGTGTCGCCGTGTTTCAGTTCCCCGCGATGTGCGGCCGCGTCTCAGTGACGCACCTCCGCGGCCTGTCTCCTGCGCTGCCGCCCCACCGCCTGACGCGCCCGCCCGGCTCCGTTTCAGTCGTGTCTCGCCATGGCCGCCGCAGTGAGCGCGCCGCCCGCTAGCCGCCGCCGCCGTCGTCGCCATGGCCGCGCGCGTCGGGCCGCCGGACGCCTGTAAGCCGCCGGTGGCCGCCGCCGCCGTGCACGGCGCGCCCCGCGCCGGCCAGCCGCGCCGCCCGGGCCGCGCCACTCACCAGCGGAACCTCAGCCTCGACTTCCGGTGAGAGACGCGGGGTGTAGGGCGCTGCGGGGCTGCGGGGGCTGCTGCAGCGGCCGGGAGTGCGTCGGCGGGCGCCGCCGGCACGTGGCGGGCTCGGCTGGACTTTGGACGGACCCGTGGTCTCGCCGCGTGACGCCGCCGCCGCCCGTGCGCGGTCTGCGTCAACGGTGGGCTGCTGGGATGTCTCAGCTCCGTGCACGTGTCGCTGCGATGTTTCTGGCGCGCGGGGATGACCTGTGACGCGTCCCCGCGTGGCGTGTGCGGTGTTCCGTCAGTGGTGCGCGTCGCCCACCCTCGTGTCTGGAGCTGGTGGTATGTGACCGACTCTTAGCCGGCGTCAGCAGCAGGCCTGTCCTCTTGATGCTGCCGCCTGCTCTTGACGCCGCTCTTGATGCTGGTCCGAGACGTTCAAGTGGGATGTTTAGCCACAACGGGGGATATCGCGACGCGTGCGTCCCTTGGCCACCGCGTGTTATTGCATCGCGTTGTGCGGGCCTTTAGCTGTCACCTCGTGTGGCGGTTCGTACCAGCGTCTCCGCCGCGGTCCACACAGGCGCGGGTATCGGCGGTCGCCGGCTCACAATCAGGTCTAATGGGTGCTAGCAGTCTGCTCAGGCGGCGAACGCGGCTCGCGCGTCGCGTGACGCCGGCGCCTGGATTTGGACCGGCTCCGTATCGCCGCACCCCGGTGTTGATCAGTCGGCATCGCCGTTGCCATCTCGCGCGTTTCTGCCGCCTGCTCTGTTGCGCGGGCGGCAGCCAGGCCGGCGTGCCTCCCTTGTCAGCGTGTTTCCGCCGTCCCCTCCTTGCTCGACTTGACGCCGGTCGCAGCCGACGGCTGACGCCGAGAGGTCCTCGCTTGACCCGGTGTGGGTGATCGCATGCTTGCAGTGCGCGCGTGTCACGCTTGTGCCGTGTCCTGCGTGTCAGGCGGCCGTGCCGCGAACCTCCCAAACCCGGGTGGAGTCGCGCCTGCAGCAGACCCGTGCTGCCCTGCCTCCGGCCTCGTGCCGCGCTCCACTGACCGGCATGCTGACGTGATGGCGTCATGGCGTCATGGCCTGCCGGCCGGGCCCCGACCCCGGGCCGGCGCGGTGTCTCGCGCTCGGTGTGATGTCCTGCGCCGGGCGCGACGGTGGTCGCCGGTGCATTGGCGAGCCGAGCGGCGCGGCTGGGCGGGTGGTCGTGGGGCGGGCTCCCTCCCGGGCCGAGATAAGCGGATTAGACAGAGGGGCTGCGGGGCAGGGTCCGCTCCCGATGCTTCTATCGTGGCCGCCTCGAGCTCCCAGCTATCAAGGGACGTTACAAAGCCCGACCACTTGACCACCACGCAGGATCTGGCAGCAAAGATGGCGTACAGCGTCATAGTTTCGATGTTGCGTTGTGACGGTGCTCATGCCTGAGCCGCCGCTATCGGCACCTTCCACATGCGTGGTGCACGCTCTTCCTGGGCCTCAGCGGCGCTGCCGGATGGTGATCACCTCCGCCATGAAGGACCGCAGCCCCGCCGACGCCGGCGCGGCTCCCAGCCGGCCGGCCGGCCTTCTGTCGACCGCAGGCGCCGTCGGCCGTGACGGCTAACTTTCTGCCGGCCGCCTCGTGCGGACGCCAAGCGGGGCGTGAGAGCGGGTCCGCCGCCGCCGCCGCCGTCGCCCGGTCCGGCCGGTCCCGGTGCCGGCGCCGGAAGGGAGAGTGCGCCGCCCGCCGGCTGCTGCCCCGACCGGAACGCAGCGCGACGCGAGATCGCCGCCTGCGAGCGCGACGCGGACGCGCGCGCGCGGCCGGGGCCGGGCGCCAGGGATGGCGGTGCTGGTCCGGACGAGCGATGGGCGCGCCGGCAGGGTCCGCTTGGATCTGGACCCGGTAGATTCCAATCTGCCCAGGACCCTGACATGGATTGATGGCGCGGAATGGTGTCTGACTGGGGGATCAGCCGAGCTCCTCGGCACCGGGGGTGGCCCTGTGTGAGTCGGGGAGCGGGGTCGGGACTCGAGGGCGTGCCCGAGCCATGGGCCGGGGCTGACGAGGCGGCTGGGGCCGGCTCCAGACCGGCCGTGGCTGTCAGCGGCGGGCCAGGCGCCCCGCCGGCCGCGTCGTGACCTGGTTATCGGCCTGCAAACCGGTGCGACGCCGGCGCTGCTGGACCGAGGCGGTCGGTGGCGCCGTGCATGCTCGGGTCGGCCGCGCAGCCCCGGTGAATGCTCGGTGCGGCGCCGTCGACCGGGCCTGCGGGGCGGGACGGCAGGGACGCCCTGGGCCCGGCGCCGCCGACACGGTGCCGGCGTCGGGAGAGCGTCACGGACGCGATCGGCCGCCGGCCCGCCCAACACATGGTAGCCCTGGCAGCCGGACGCTGGCTGGCTGGCTGGCTCTGGTGGGGAACCCTGGCTGGGTGACTCAGTGGACGGAGCGATTTTTCATGCTCGCCAAGGGCTGCCGTCCGGTCTGTCTGGCGCGTGTCCGCCCGGGCGGAGGCGGCGTGGACGGTTTGGGCATGGGTGGGGTGTGTGCAGGCGGCGTGTCCGGCGCTGTAGTGTTGGTGTCTGTGTGTTGCAGTGACTGAGCAGTTTGACCGCCTGACGAGGCAGTTTGTGCTTTGTTTGAACTGACAGCGTCAGCCGTGTCTAACGCGGCGACTGACGGCGTTAGCTTCGCCCCACCAGTCGTGGCCCGGCTCTCTCTGACGCCCCCCCCCCCCCCCCCTGCCGGCAGGTCGATGGGCATTGTGCTGCCGCCGCTGCAGCACACTTCATTCCGGCGCACGCATCACCGCAACCGCAGCCTCGACTCGGTGCTGCAGGAGATTCCCGAGCTCGAGGCGGCCGAGGAGCCGGCGCTGAAGCCGGCGCTCTCGTGTCCGCTCAAGCCACGCCAGCCGCGGCCGAGCCGCGCGCCGCTGCCACTGCCGCCGCCGCCGGCCGTCGTGCGCGTGCCGGGCCGGCCGGCCGCCGTCGAGCGCCGGCTGACCGGCGAGGACGCCTCAAGCCTCGGCTCAACCGACTCGGGCATCAGCTCGGACGGCTCGGAGCGCGACCTGCGGGACAGCGAGGAGGCCTGGCATGGCGGCGCCCGGCAGCCCGGCGCCGGCCGTCGCCGCCGCCACTGCCGACAGTGAGGAGGACAAGGACGCCGCCGGTGAGGCGACGGCGGCGACGGCGACGGCGACGGCCGCCGGCGGCGCGCCGCAGAAGTCGTGGCTGCTTCGGCTCTTCGAGAGCAAGTTGTTCGACATGAGCATAGCCGTCAACTACCTGTTTAACTCGAAGGAGCCGGGCGTGCAGATGTACATAGGTGAGTACGGCGTCGTCTGTCGCCGCCGAAGCTGGACTGAGATGTCGATGGGCGCTGGCTCGGCCGGCGCCGGCCGCCGCTGGCTGCGGCCGCCGCCATTCAGCGCCAGCCGGCTGACCGCCGCTGCTGTCGGCCGCTGTCGCTCGGCGTTCAAGGCGTCCGCAGAATCGAGCCGTGCAGCTGCAGGGTTCATTACCGAGCTGCCAGCCGTGTCACGCGGCCGCGTGTGCTCTGGTGTCCGGCTCGTAACCGATTTTTTGTTCAGAGCGCTTCTCCGAAGCAGTGCGCTCTTGCTGCGCCCGTTGGTAGCCTTTCTGCTGTCTTTACCTTTCTGGGGACTTGGCCGGGGTCTGCTTTGGCCTCATTTCAGGCAATGCTGACAAATGGTGACATTGGGTTGTTGGTGATCACTGATGGACGGCTGCAGACTTAGTTACAACGGTAGCAGATGCTACGCCTCGCGTGTCGTGGCCGTGGCGCTGCGTGCTGTGCTCCGTTCTCAGGCGATTCTATTCCGCACTCAGACGATATGTTACGTTGCCATCCGTTGCTGGCGCCTGGTAATCAGCAGAATGACCCCGCCGTGTACTCCGAAGGAGTCCGGGTTCAGGCTGCCCAGCTCCCGTACGGTGATAGTTCCCTGGACAGCACTAAGTGCAAGATGAAGAAAGACGAGATGGCGTATGATGGGAGGTTCGAAAATTGTAGCGTAATGCAACTGCATTGTTGACCGGAAGTGGTCGGTTGTCAGCACTACATCGAAACAAGTTGCTGTGTTCCGGGCGGCCGACACATATCTGACGGGGATCGTTTATTTCATTTTGTGTCGTGTGAACGAGGCTTGTAATTGCTCTCGTATCTCGTGACGTAATCTAATAACAGCCGGTGAGCGCATTAGGGCTGAAATTGCCCCAAAAAGTATCAGATGTAATCTGGAAACTGGGCGCGAAGTTCACCAAGAAACCGCCGCCGCGACGTCGGGGCTTCGTTTCGGGCCGTTTGCCGGACTCGCAGCTCAGCGCCGGAGCTGGTGGTCACAAGTGCCCGTCTGCGGCGCGGTGCTCCTCCGCGCGTCGGTCCGCGCCGGCTCGGTGGACGTCTGGCGGCGACGGCGGCGGCCCTGGACCGCTGCTGGTAACGGTGCGCCGGCGGCGGCCGCGCGCCGGCCGTGAGAGCGCCGGCCGCCGACCGAGGCCACCGCCGAGCGGCCGGCCGCGCCACCGCTACGGCTCCGGCTGCGGCAACACGGCTCGCCCATTAGGCGGGCGCGGAGCGAGTTAGATCGACGCGGGTCGCCGCCGGCAGCCGGCCAGCTGGGGGGGGGGGGGGGGGGGCAGACTCCCGTTAGCCTCGGACGCTGCTCTGGGCGAGGTGCCGATCACGGCAGCGGCCGCGGCCGCCGCTCAGACCCTGCTGACGTCACGGCCTTTGTCTGGAAGGCCGAGTTGGCCGGCTGGTGATGTTCGGTCTGCATCACGCCGCTGCGGCCTCGCTCCAGCCGCTGACGCCTGGCCAGCCGGCCGGCCGGCTGCGGCGGGGCGGCGCCGCGCTCGGCGTGCGCTCGCCAGCGGCCGGCTCCCGGACCTGCGGCGGGAGGCGGCACGCCCACGGAGCCGGCGTCGGCACGCCATGACGGCGCGGCACGTGGCCCGGCGCCTGGGCCCGTGACGCCGCGCCGGCCGGGCGACGCCTCTGTCTGCCGCGCCGCGGCTCGCCTCCCGCGCGGCGGCCCGCCGGCGTCGTTGCCGCCGACGGCCATTGATTGCGACGGGAGGCCGGTGCCCCCGGCTGCGCCGCGCCGACAGGCGAGAGGAGACCGTGCCGGCCGCGGGCCGCGCGCCGGCTCCGCCCGCCGCGCAGTCACGAGGAGGCGGTCCGCGGCCGCCGGCCGGCCGGCGCCCGTTTACGGCCTGTTGTGCTCGGCACCGGCGCCGTTCCGGCTCGCAGCCGGCGGGGCCGGAGGAGCGGCTGGCCCGGTCACGTACCGTCTGCACGGGGCCGGCCGGCCGGCGGGCGGCCGCCGCGCCATGTGCCGGCCTCTCGGCGCGGGCCAGGGCGTGCAGCTGGCGCGTGATTCCCGGCGCTGCCTGCTCGCCCCCGCGGCCGGACTCTCGTGACCAGCCTGCGGTCGGATCGGGGGCGCGGGGGGCGGCCGGCGCCGGATGTGGCCGCGTGGCGGGCAATCGGAGGCGGTACGCTCGCACCGCCGATCGGTCGGAGGCTGCACTTGGAGGAGCGCGGCGGCGCGGCACGCAGACCGCGGCAGCGCCTGCGTCCCGTCCGCAGATGCGGGACGCTACTCCAACTGTATTCGTACATCTGTCGTATGTGTCATGTATTTACTGTGGGTCGGCTGAAACATTGTCAACAAGGGGCTCAGACCATTCCCAATATCGTATTTATAATTGTTTCTGAACGTTGGCTTGCCCTCGCTGGTGGATGTGAGCTTTGGCTATGCACTGGCGTTGCTGGCGCGCATATTAAGGGGGAGCACAGCGAGCCTAATGATTCCCGTTCCCGCGCTGGGTACCATAATGAGTCGGCAGTGACCTTTCGGCTTTCACCCTACGCCAGCCGGCGTTCCCTGACCCCCTGCGTGTTCCCTCGGCTAGCGTGAGAACGACGGCGCAGCGGCGCAGGACGGAACGTCCCTGTCTGAGCCCGGGTCGGGCGCCGGACGGAGCGTCCCTGCCCGAGCCCGAGTCGGGCGCCGGACGGAGCGTCTTTGCCCGAGTCCGAGTCGCGTGCCGGACGGAGCGGAGCGTCTTTGCCCGAGCCCAGGTCGGGCGCCGCCCGCCCGGAGACCCCCGGTGGCTCCTCCGCCGCGCACCGCCTGGTCCGCAGCGTCGCGCCCCTGCAATCTGGTCACAGGAACACAGGACGTCCTGTGGTGCCCCGGAGCTGCGGCGAAATGGGCCGCGACGTTCGGACGCCTCCTCCCGGCCGCCGACCGGACGAGCTCCGGGGTTCCGTCGGGGCCGTCAGCGACCGGCTGTCACACTGGCCTCGCTGGCCTGGAGCCGGCGACGCACTCCGCGGCCGGCATTTGACGCCGTTTCCACGCGTTAATCAGGCGGAACGGAATGCGTCGCGTCGTTACAGACCAGGCGGAGATCGTAGACGCCAATCTCATGATCGGTTTACGACGGGCCGCCGTTCGAGCCGTCCGCGTCGTAATCCGACGGACGGGTGGCGGTGCCGAGGCTGGAGTACGGCCGGTCGTGAGGCGCGCGAGCGGTGGTCTCGCGCCCGTGCGCCAGCTCCACTCCGCTGCCGATGGGTGTGGAGCATGGCCAGGTATCGGGTCGTGACCTGGCTGGTGAGTCGTGTCCGGGCGCACCGCGGCCGCTACCAGCCGGAGCCGGGCCAGAGCCGGCGCGGGGTCAGCTCCGACCCGGGTTATGGTGCGAGGTGTGACGGGCCGGCCGGCCCGGCTTCGCGCCTGTGTGGCACTGCCGCGGACGCTGCCGTCGGTGAGGTTTGAGCGGCGTGGCACGGTGTGACGCTGCACCAGCGTGCCGGCGTTATGGCCAGGCTGTGTACCGCCGTCTCTCAGTGTTGCTCGGTAACGGAATTGCTGCAACGACCCCGTGCCGTGGCAGGGTGTTAGCCCGCAAGTGTGGTGTTGTAGCAGCGACGCTGTGCAATGACGGCGATCAGCGTTTTGGGACGCGCTCATTTCTTTGGTCATTTGGCGCTCACAGAGCGAAACTGTGACCGCGTGATGCCGTCACAGTGTGACAGTGTGACACCAGCCATGTGACGCCAGCGCGGCGCGACGGCCGACGCGACCGCTGCCGGCCGGCAGGCAGCCGGCGGAGCTGCGCCCGGCCGGCCGCTGGCCTGCCCGCCGTATCGATCGGCGAGCGAGCGGCAGCGGGCGGCTCGCGGCGCGCGCGCCCCGCCGCCGCTCGCGTCGATGTGCGGCGGTGGCCGGCCGCTGTCGGCGGCGGCGGCGGCGGCTCTCGACCGCGCCGGGCCGCGAGGCCGACAGCGTCGCGGGGCTGCGCCGTCGGCCGCGCCCGGTTCTTGCCGGCGCGACGCGGCGCGCCGGTGTATCGAATGGCATGCGGTCGGGCGCGTCGGGTACGCCCGAGCGGCCTGTGTCAAGGGCGACACGGCGCCCGGGGCCGCTCGGCGCGGCCGAGGTCGGCCGCGCTCCACCGGCGCTGGGACCGGGGCCGCGCGCGCCGCCCGGCGCGGAATGCAGCTCCTGTTGTCGCGGGGCTGAGCGAGGCCCGGTTTTTGCGTCCGCCCCCCGTCCTGTCGCGCCGCTGCGCCCGCCCGTATTGTGACGACTGTTCAACGGTGACCTTCACGTGTAAACGGACTGATAAGTGCTCGGCCCGGCGACGGATGAGCCGGGCTGTGTACTGACTCATCGGACCATGGCGCGCGCACCTGCCGCCCCGGCCGTCGGGGGCACAGATGGACAGCGGCTGGGGACCGGGACGGGCCCTCGGCAGACACGGACGGTGGTGGGGTACCCGGCACACCCTCACCCTCCGCACGCGAAAGGTAGGGGGTTCTGACACACCCTTAGAGCCGTCCGATGGAATAATCCGAATGCCTCATTCACGAAGAACTGTACAGGGTTTTCCCCTCACTACGGCCGCTCTTCAAAGTGAGAACGGTGACAGACCCTCAGCAAACCGGCAGCGGCGGTCGACCCCGTCAAGCCCCCTGCCCCGCACACCGACGCTGTGTCGGTGCACTGCGTCAGTCCCCATGCCGTTGCGTGTCCGCGCGGCTCTGTCCCCATTTCCCGCCGGCTAATCATAATCAGTCGCCGGCGCCGGTCACTGGGCGGCGCTGGGCGTCGCGTGGGTGTATCTGCCGGTCCGCCCGCCCGCCTGGCTACGGGGGGGGGAGGCGCGCGGCCGGCGGCGCCGTCACGCGCCCGTCCCGTGCAGCCGTGCATGTGCCGTAGGTCCTCCGCTGCCGCCGACCGCGGCGCGGCCGCGCGGCTCCAGGTCCGGCTGGAGGCCCGGCCGGCGCGCGTCTCGTGGCGGGGTCCGGCCCGGTGCACGGCTGGGGTGGGCAGCTGCAGCCGGCGAGTCGTGCCGCCCGCCTGCCGCCGCCGCCTTTGTTTGGGCGTCGCGCCCCGTCTCGCCGCCGCCGCCGCCCCGGCCACGCTCGTGATGGCCGTGATTGGAGCGGGTGGCCGCCGTGCAGCGCCGGCCGGCCACACCCGGGCGGTCGCTGACTGATCGCGTCTCGTGCCGCGGACAGTCGCCCCTGCCTGGCGTATACAGCGGCGGTGTTGGGTAAACAGGGCGCCGCGTGAGTCAGCGGCCGGCCCGGTGGCCGGCGCCGGCTGGCACGGAACACCGGTCGCCCGGCGACACAGGGCTGACGCCGCCGCCCCTCTGTTGCAGTGAACCGCATGTTCAGCTTCAGCGAGACGGAGACCGACTTCTTCCTGCCGCAGTTGGTCAACATGTATATTCAGATGCCGGACGTGGCCGAGGTGCTGCACCCCTACCTCGTGCACAGGTACGTCCCAGCGCTGGTCCGGCCGCGGCCGGCCGTGCTCCGCCAGTCGCGACACAGCCAGCCGCCGCGGCCGGCCGGCGATATTTTTCCACGAAGCCGGCCGGCGTGTCGTGTTGCCGTGTGCCGATGCGGCCGTCGCGTGACGGCCGGCCCCGTCCGCCGTGTGCCGGGCCGAGTCGCTCGCCGCTGCCGCTGTCGCAGTGGCGCCGCTCAGCGGGCTCGCCTGGCGCTTACAATTCGCCCCCCCCCCTCTCTCTCTCTCTGTCTGTCTCCCTCTCCCTCTCCCTCTCTCTCTCCCTGTCTCTGGTCTCCGTCTCGTGTCGAGTGCGCCGTGTGCTCGCCGCTCTCGGCCGTCCGCCGCGGCCGCCGCGAGCCTCACCGCTCGCCGCCGTCGACGCTGCGCTGACGGGGCGGCGCGTTTGACCGGCGGCCGGGCCGTGCTCCAGGTGCCGGAAGAGCGTCGACTTCTCGCTGCAGACGGCGCGCCTGCTGGACGCCTACAGCTCGGACGCCAATCTCTCCAACAAGAAGAAGCCGCACGGCACGCGCCTGCGGAATCTGATACTGTCCGACGAGCTGAGGTACGTGCACGGTCGGCGGCACCCCCGCAATTGGGCCGCGCCACCGAGGCGGGCGCCGGCGGCCGCACCTCTGCCCCAGTGCCGGCCCGGCTCTGTTCGCCTTGAAATGCGATGCGGCCGTGCCGATTGAATGTCCGTTGCGCCGCGCCCGGCACCGAGCGGGCCGCGTCGGGAGAATGGGATTGGCCGGTGGTTTAGTAATGGAGGCGGCGGCCGGACCAGCTCGCCGGTGCCAAGGTCGGGGGAAGGGCGCACCGCTCCGGAGATGAGGCGGACGGGTCGCGCGACGCCGGCTGTCGTTCATGAACGCGCAGCCGTTGGTGGACGCGGCGCGGCGGCCCGGACCGTTGGGCCCGCGGCGGCTCGTTACTCGGCCTCCCGCGTATGGCTGGGCTGCCGTTGAAGCGGCTGACTCAGGGCTCGGCCGGACCTCGGCGCGTGGGACGGGCTGATGCGGCGTCTGGCCCGGATAGCCGGGCCTCGTGACGGAGCTGTAGCGGCGAATGCGGACGCCTCACGTCCCGCGAACGGCGGCGCGGGCGTCCGCGTCAAGGCCGGTGCTTGCTGATTCGACTGCGGCGGTTGGGGTGCCGGGCTGGGCTGGCGGCCGGTGTCGGAGGGGCCGACCTGAGCGACGCTCGGGTGGGACGGTGTGCCGCCGCTTGAGCTGGCGAACGGCGTCCCCTCCACGCCGGACGCGGCCCGCGCTGGCCGCTGGCCGTCGCCCGGCAAGCTCGCTGCACTGTCCGTGCGTCGCAATAAGGTGTAGATGCACGTTGGCGACCCAGTTCTAGCACGTGACGTCCGAATCAATGAAGCAGTGAGCGTTCGTCGTCGTATCGTCGTTGTCGCTATAGCTGCTATCCATTGAGCTATCCATCTGCCATCCATGTCTTACGCAGCCAGGAAGCCCCCCGGCTTTCCACTGCATCCGAAGTGCATACTGCTGGCACGGCCGGCGGCGAGCCCTCCACCTCGCCGCCCGCCGCCCGCCCCCTCCTGATCCGATAGAGGCGTGGGCCGGCGCAAGGTCCACGTCCGGCCGGCGCCCGCTGATAGCCGTACGTGGTGAGCATGACGTGACGCCGTGCCGTGACTGACGCGTGTCTCGGCAGGCCGAAGCCGGCGTCGGCGCGTCTGCAGGTGCCCGGCCCGCCGCCGGCCCGCGCCGCCGAGCACACGCTCTCTCCGCTGCGCCGCACCCACCAGCGCTCGCGCAGCGACGCGGCCGCCAGCTACTCCAAGAGCCACCAGCGCACGCCCAGCACAGGTGCGTCGGTCGGCGGGGAGGTGTAGGATGGGAGGGCCCGTCCCTTTCCGGAGGGGTGTGTCTGGCGGCGGCTTCCGCCGTCCTCTCCGGGGTCCGACTCCTCACCACCTTGTCCTGGCTGGCGCTGTGTCCGTGTACCACGTCCTTCAGTCCCGCTGACTCTGACCTGTCCTCCAAAGGTGTGTCGCCGCCGGCCGAGGAGCTGGCGCCGCGCGCGTCCTCCTCCGAGACAGGTGAGTCCTCCTCTGAGTCCTCGTCCTCCCGCCTGCCCAGCCGCCTTCTCCACCGGCCTCAGACCGCCAGCCGGTCTTGTTTGCGCGCTCGCCGCTGCTTGCGTATGTATCTGGCGTGCTCTAAAGTTAAGCTCCCGCTCACGTATGCCTCGCGCACGCGGCGGCCGCCCCCGCCAGCGCCGGGTGCCGTGTTTTGCGACCCGCGCAGCAGGCGGCGCTTTTTGTCCGGACGCCGTCTTCGTTGGCGACTCCTAATTGCTGCGGGCCTGGATATTCGGCGGTGAAATTGGCGCTGTTTTTTCGCCGTATTGACTGTCGCTCGGGGAGGAGCGCGAGATTGAGGCGGCCACTCATGTCTCGTCTTTACACACGCCCAGCTGTTTGGGCACCGGCCGGCGTGCCGGATGACTCGGCGCAGTCGGCTCTGCGCGTCTGTGCTACGCAAATAATCGAACGTGGTCGCGTCGCGTTCTATTTGCGGGCGGCTCTCGATAAACTACGAAGCAAACGCTGGGCGTTCGGCGTGCGCGGCTGCGCTCCCAGTCGAGTCCCGCACGTCCGCCGTGTCGTCCGCAGTGTCGCCCGTCCGCCCGACCGCTTCGCAATTTAACGCGTGTGTGCCACCCGCCCGGCAGGCAGCATGCGCTGTTACCTGGGCGACGTGAGCTCGGGCCGCGCCTTCGACAGCGGCTGCACCTGCTACGACAGCCACGAGGGACAGTGTAACGACCTGCTGGGCCGCCACGTGCAGTGCCACTGCGGGGTGAGTGGGCGGCGCCCGGTCCGACCCGGCCTGCGGCGCGCGCGTCCGCTGGCCTTTACCGCCGGCGCTCGCCGCCGCCGGCGCTCGGCGATCATTGACGCGTCGCGTGTGTCGCGGCGCGGCATTTCACGGCGAGCGATTGGGTGGCCGGTCTCCTGGCGACACGCTGACGTCGGCTGGTGCCGTGCCGCAGGGTGGTTCGGAGCTAGGTCTGTGTGGACGGAATTATCAGGCGTACGCGGTGACGGTGTGTCGGCGAGGCGGGTGGGCGGTGGCGGGGGGGTCCCTGTACACAGTTCTGATCACCGTGATACCGGACCGCGATTCGTCGGATGCCTGACCGTGTGACTGGCTGGCCTCCGTCGTGCTAACGTCCCTCCTGGCCCGTGCATGACGTCCTCTCCCACCGTGTTGACGCCCCTCCGCCGTGTGCCGCCCCTCCGGCCGTGTGACGCCCTCCGGCCGTGCTGACGTCCTCTGGCTGTGGTTGACGTCCCTCGGTCGTGGCGACGTTCCATCTGGCCGTGCTGACGTCCCTCTGGCTGTGTTGACGTCCCCCGGCCGTGCTGATGTCCCAAAGTTGACGTCCTCGGCCGGCTGACGTCCCTCTGGCTGTTGGACGGCCCTCCGGCCGTGCTGACGTCCCTCTGGCTGTGTTGACGTCCCTCCGGCCGTGCTGACGTCCCTCTGGCTGTGTTGACGTCCCTCCGGCCGTGCTGACGTCTCTCCCACCGTGCTGACGTCCCTCTGGCTGTGTTGACGTCCCTCCGGTCGTGCTGACGTCCCTCCGGTCGTGCTGACGTCCCTCCGGCCGTGTTGACGTCCCTCTGGCCGTGCTGACGTCCCTCTGGCTGTGTGGACGTCCCTCCGGTCGTGTCGACGTCCCTCTGGCCGTACTGACGTCCCTCTGGCTGTGTTAACGTCCCTCCGGTCGTGTCGACGTCCCTCTGGCCGTACTGACGTCCCTCCGGCCGTACTGACGTCCCTCCCACCGTGCTGACGTCCCTCCCACCGTGCTGACGTCCCTCCCACCGTGTCGACAGGCGCCCCGTCTGCGGCCGCAACTGGAGTTCATCAACGCGCTCATCTCGATCGGGCAGCGGCTGGGCGCCATGCCGACGCGCGAGGCGAAAACCACCCAGCTGCTGAACGAGCTGAGCCTGCTCAACCTGAACTTGCCGGCGCGCGTCTGGCTGCCGCTGCACAGCGCCGGCCACCACGTGGTGCGCATCCCAGCCCAGGCGGCCGCCGTCCTCAACTCGAAGGTGAGTCGGCGCCCTGGCGGCCCGCCGCCGGAGGCTGCTCTGCTCCCGTGGGCTGCTGCTGCGCGGCTCGGCGGCCGGAGGGGGGTTATTGAGGGAGTAAGGGCGTGTTGACGCTCGCGGAGTTCGCGTGAGCCGGTGGCAGACCGTTGGGGCCGCCTGTTGCTTTTACCGCCCGTCTCTGATGTTTTATTGCGCGAGACGGTTCGATAGGCTGGATCGGCGCGGGGAGGTAGGGTTGAGTGTGTTCTGGCTCCGCCGCCGTTGCTGATGGAACACCTGATCATGCATTGATTTCTGGGAATTGGTGGGAGTGCTGTTCCAAGTAAGCTGCTTTCAGTCGACCAGCTGAGCTTATTTCTCAGCACGCTGTCATGGCTTCGAGATTGATTCCATTTGACTGCTGTAGGTGCCAGGCTGCAACGGAATGCTGATTAAGCGGCTCAAGTTGTGGCACAGTAAATGGCTTTTCTGTGAATCTGGACTGGTATCCATAGTTTTCGTTATGGAGGTAAAGTCATGAGTATTTCATGTTTGTATCAAAAATCGTTTGATAGTATCATACACCAAATGGTCATCATCCGTTCCGATCGCACTGGTCAGCTTGCGTTGGAAAGATAAGTAAGAAAAGCGACCCAATGTGCTTCAAGTGTCGTCCAGTTAATCCATGTGATGCCTCCACGTAGACGGATGACTGCCTCACCAGCGTCGCTGACCGTCGCCTGGTCGTTGCAGGACAAGGCGCCGTACATGCTGTACGTAGAGGTGGTGGAAGTGGACCGGCCAGAGACGGCGCCCGTGCCAGCCAAGTGCATCAACACGCTGCGCCACACGCGCTCCGAGGAGAGCCTGGAGAAGGCGGCGGCCGCGGCCGGCGCGCCCTCCCTGCCCACCACCTTCAGCCTGTACGGCAACATGGACGCCGACAACGCCGACTGCTGGAGCCAGGAGGACGACGACATCTCGCAGCAGGTGAGTGACGCCGGCTGTAGACGGCCGGGGAGGCGTGGCTGTGGGCTTCGAAGGCGTCGTGGCAACCGACTAGCTGAAAACCCAGTTTACAAGCAACCGAGTGCGCAGCCAAACTTGCAACGGCAGATGCTCGTTGAAGGCTGGGAAGGGCCCGTTTCGCCACCGCGTGAGCCGATGAGCGTTGTGTGACGACTGCGCGCGCAGGGAGCGCTCCGCTGCGGAGGCAGCGTGCAGCACGACCTCGCTCCGGTAGACGTTTGGGCTTTTTGGCGGCCCCCGGCGGCCACGTAAGCCTCGCCGCACGTCGGAAGTCCCTGGGCGGCCGGCGCGGCGTGTCATCATCGCCGCTTCGGCCCCGGACGGGCTGTCCGCGGCCTCTCTGGCGTCACGGGGGTCTGGCGGCCGTCTGCCAGCGCGGCTGGAAACCGGGCGGCGCCGAACGTGTCGCCCGCGTGGCAAGCGCCATTGATCACGGCTAATGGTGGACTGCGAACTTCAGCGCGTCAGTGGAGCGTGAGGACGGGGCAGGAAGTCTATCCGTCAGGCCCACGCGGTTATCGCGCCTCCGCGCCATCAAACCGCCTATTGGCCGGCGTGATTCGCGGAAACCGGCGCTGATTGGTCGGGCGCTGCGTCGTGTTTTTTTCACGAGATCCTGCCGTGGGTCAGCTGTTGATGAATTGGACCCGCTGTGGGACGGGATTCGGTCGATGCGTCTCGCATCATCGGAGGCGTCCGGTCGCGGTCCCGCGCTGGAAACGGGCGCAGAGCAGCCCCAGCTACTGGGACAGCCCCGGAGCTGCCGCATCTTGTCATGTTACGGGCGGCCGACTCCCTGTCCGCCCATGTACCAAAGTTTTCAGCCGGCGCTCTGCTCGGTCCGGGTGTACAGCCATCAGCTGACTGGTGTGGTGTGAAGCGTTGCTGTCTGTCACGGCGCGCGACGCCCGCCCCGCCGCTGCGTGCCGCTTGACTGTCCCCCTGTGCTGCGCTCCGACGCGTGGCTTGGTCCTAGTCACCAGGCATGCTGTCTCCGGCTTCACCGGCGCGGCCGGGCACCCGCCCCGGTGCCGGTGCTGGCGCCTGACCCGCCGTCCCTGCGTGCTCGGGCGCGTGCGCTGATCGTGCGACGCCCGCCGTTTCAGTACTGGCAGCTGCGCAAGGCGGGCCGGGACGCGGAGCGCGACACGCTGTCGCAGATGTCGCAGGAGTCGGCCGACAGCCGCGAGCCGGTGCTGATCGCGCCGGGCGACATCCGACGCCGCCTGGCCGACAGCCTGGCCGCGCCGCGCTCCACGTTCGCGCGCGACCCGGACGACCCGTCGGCGTCCGTGCTCAAGGAGCCGTGGGCGGAGAAGGAGCGGCGCATCCGCGACGGCTCGCCGTACGGCCACCTGGCCGGCTGGCGCCTGATGCCGCTCATCGTCAAGTGCGGCGACGACCTGCGGCAGGAGCTGCTCGCCTACCAGCTGCTGGAGACACTGCGCCGGCTCTGGCGGCTGGAGCGCGTGCCGCTGTGGGTGCGGCCGTACCGCATCCTGGTGCTGTCGGCCGACTCGGGCCTCATCGAGCCCGTCGTCAACACGGTGTCGCTGCACCAGGTCAAGAAGAACAGCCGCATGTCGCTCAAGGAGTACTTCCTGCAGGAGTTCGGTGACGTGAACAGCGAGGCGTTCCTGACGGCGCAGCGCAACTTCGTGCAGAGCTGCGCCGCCTACTGCCTCGTCTGCTACCTGCTGCAGGTGAAGGACCGCCACAACGGCAACATCCTGCTGGACAGCGCCGGCCATCTCATCCACATCGACTTCGGCTTCATGCTCTCCACGTCGCCCAAGAACCTGGGCTTCGAGGCGTCGCCGTTCAAGCTGACGCCCGAGTTCGTGGAGGTGATGGGCGGCCTCGGCTCCGACATGTTCGAGTACTTCAAGATCCTGATGCTGCAGGGTCTGGTGGCCGCCAGGAAGCACCACGAGAAGCTGCTCACGCTCGTTGAGATCATGCGGTCAGGTGAGTGGATGCGGAGCTCCGCCGCCACCATCCGGCGCGGGAGAGCTGGTGGTGCCGTGCGGTCACTCGCGAGAATAAATTGCCTGATGCCAGTTTTATATAAACAGTCATCACTTCTCTTTGTCAAAAGAAAACTCTAACTTATTTCCTCCACATACCGAGTTTCATAAACGTTCCTGACGGCGTACTTCAATTTCACCGTCGGAGCCTTTTTACTCATATTTTGGTTTTCAAAATCAGAAGTACTAGAGCTGTTGTGCCGTAACCAAACAGGTTCTTATTTCACGGTGGCCGATTATGCTCATTGAGAGGGACAGCACAGTTTTGTTGTGAATCAGGCTCAAAAGTGTATTTATTATATGTGCAGTTTTTTTTCAATAATATTTAAACTTTCGTGTCTTCTGAAGAGCTCAATGGGGTTATGAAACATCCCGGTTCGCGTAAAGTAGAAAATCTTCATGGTCATGTAAAGCAGAAATAAAGTAAATGTGGTGCGTAACGAATTGGTGATCAACAATAAGCCCAGGAGAACCGAATATCGCAGGCGTCCCTAAATTGGCTGACTTCTCGCAGGTGTCTTGAAGTTATGGATGTCAACCAACATTAATTAGTTCGTTCAGCGAATGAAATGCGATCAATCCATTGGGCCTATGACGTCAATGGCCGATGATTAAATATCGTGCGTCAAACTTCCGCGCTGTGAATGCGCCATCTTCTGCGGACACGTGTGGTGCTGACTGCCGTCTGTGGTGTCCGCCAGGTTCTCAGTTGCCCTGCTTCCGCTCGGGCGCCGCCACCGTCCAGTTTCTGCGCAACCGCTTCCACATGAACATGACGGAGGAGCAGCTGCAATACCTGGTCGACTCGATGGTCGAGTCCTCCATCCACTCGCTCACCACCAAGCTGTACGATGGCTTCCAATACCTGACCAACGGCATCTTGTAGCGCTGGCCGCGCGCCGCCCACCGACGCATTTACACGGGGGACCAGAGCCGGCCGCCGCCGCCGGCGGGACGGACGCTCGTGCGCCGCGGACGGCCGCACGGGACGCGTGCTGCGTTGCCACGAGTCAGACACGCATGTGTACATAGTTTGTATACTCATCGCCCCTGTTGACATGTTACCGCTTTTGATTCAGACGATGTAATAAAAGTGATATTGTTGGTGTTTGTTTGTGGGGTGGATGTGGCGGCTGCGGCGCCGTGGAGCTGGTTTGAGCGGAGGTGCAACAGTGACGTCAGAAGCTCGACAGGAAAGTCGGGACGGCCTTAGCCGTTTGCCGTGGGAAGGAGAGCACTTGGTGCGGGCGAATGTGCAGAGAAAGCGAACGAGACGCCGTTCGGGCATGATTTATCTACATGCACTGCCGTAGGGGTCTTGTCAGTTTGCTTCTGGTGCGACGTCTCTGGGTTCAGTTCGGAGAGTCGGATGTCTTTGGAATGACAGAAACCTCAGGATATGTGAGTGGATGTTCACACGCGCCTTACGTGCTGCAGCGCCTGCAGGCTCTGGAGCGTGCCTGAGCGCCTCTGGCGGATCACGGGAAGAGGCGCTAACGGCGCCTATTCCCGCTATCACCAGCGATGTCTGAGAGGAGTCTGCATGCATCACATCGCCTGTTTGATGTCGCCTAGATTGCCAAGGCACGAGGGAAGTTGTGAAGAGCGGTCTCCGGACGGCTGGCCCGGCTCGCTGGCGGACATTAAGGTCAGCTTTTTCAGTTCACTTTATGCGATGTCACGTAGGAATTGACAGACTCGGCAGACGAGAGCGTGACTTGATTGGGGCGTGAATGATGGCGCCGCACTGCTGGTGACGGATTCCAATCTCCGGACATCACCAACGCAGTACGACAAACCAGGAAAATCAAAATGCTTGCGGTACGCATGCGATACGAGCTGCCCGAATCAGTCCAGCAGTAAACTTAACCGGCCAACGAATGTGTTTACTCGCCCGTGTCTGCTGCGTGTCCTGTGCTGGGGATCGACGTTAGCGCCAGGCTTTGCCGCGGCCACTTCGTAAAGCTGTAAGTGGATTTTAGAGCACCAGGGGGCAGTACGAGGGCTAGGCTTTGATGATATGTCATATACCTTATGCTCTGCGGTCTGCTGTAGTGGCCTACTGTGGTGCGCACGCTGCAAGAAAGGCGTGTGCATGCCTCATGCTTGTCTGGTTGCAGCGTAGTAATGCGCTGGACATGAGGGCAGCATTGGAGCACTGGACGTCGAGCACTGGAGCACCGAGCATTGGACATCGAGCACTGGAGCATCGGAGCATTGGACATCGAAGGAGCATTGAGCATCAGGGCAGGAAGCATCCCGTTTAAGACATCTAGAATATGTTTGGTAATAATCGGACGGTGGAAGAGGTACAGCGCCCAGCCGCCCATTCCCTCCTTGTGTTCAGGGCCCCCGATATTTGCATGTTTTGCAGCGCCTGTGGCCACAACGCAAAATAACCTCGAGCTGTTTCAGTTCTCATTCTCCTCGGCGCGCAGTGAGTGCCTGTCAGTACGATGAGGCGGGTCACTTGCGGTACTAGACCTCAGTTGGCCTGGTATCAAACTATCAAGCGCCATGACAGATGCACGCACGGCTGGATCCAGGGGCCAGCCAACCGGGCGATAGATTTCAAGCTGTTTTAATCATCGCTCAAAGGTTTATGTCAAAAGCATTTTTGATCCGAAGACATCTCCTACGAAACGAAAACCCTCCTTGGGCGCAACCTTCAGTTTATGCCAATAATACAATTATAGGTATAAAGTATCTCACCGACAAGGTGGTTTGGCCGTTCCAATCAAAAGCGGTCATATCATGTTATTTCATGTTATGTGATATTATGTTTACATTATTTATACTTGACATCGCCTGACACTCCGCATACATGCATGGCTATTAGGTGTCATAAGTCTGAGAGACAGAGAAGCATATGAAGAAACAACGGAGAGGGACGAAAGATTCAAAACATATAAACGCGTGGACGCGTAACAGCATGAGACAACCCTATCACACAAAAAAGGACCCGGCATCGCGCTTAAGTCTTGTTGAATCCAGTCGTCTAACATCCACGGGCAACTCATTAATGATAGACGGCGCTCGTTATGCAAAGGACCGCTGTGCTGCCGCCTTGCACGCCGACGGGGGGGAGGGGGGAGACGCAGGTTATGGTCACGCGGGTAGTTTGGTCACTGGTCCGCGCGTCAGCGTATGTTTGAAACAAACAGGCAAGACCTGCAGGTTTACCTCGCTCACGGACTTTGTGCGCAGCGATGGCAGTTTGCACTTAACATACTTGTCGAGGCGTGGCAAAGCGCAGGTCATCCCGCGCGCGGGACACGTGGTCACACATTCGGACTGAAGACTTCACTGCTCTGGTAGTTAAGCTAACAGCTGGCCCCTGGTCATAATCAGAAATGCAGTATCTTACGATGGAGATAACTAGACCCTGCACTATGGTCAGCAGCACTCGTTGCGGGAGAAAATGTCTCAGCTGGCGGAGACCTACCAGGACGCCGATGGACTTTTTACTCAGCACTGACGCGTGCGTCCGAGCTCAGGTGGCCGCCAAATAGCACGCTCGGGTTTTTTTACGGTCGGGGCCTCCCGAACGGTCTCCCCACCGACCCGTACGCTGACGAGGGAGAGTCTGCGGGTGCTCTGTCTGGTGCCAAAGAGGAGTTCGGTTTTGGATACGTTGAGATTGAGACCGTGAGCGTGGAACCACGGTGCTAGTGAGGACAGGTTGTCATGCGTTGGATGAGGGAAGGAAGGTTGTGTTTAACATCGGATATGAGGATTTGGGTGTCTTCAGCGTACTGGGTCACATGAGCGTCTGACGCGTGCAGCTGAGGTCGTTGGCGAATATTGTGAGTAAGAGAGGACCAAGGGCTGGTCCCTGGAAGACTCCCATGGCATTGGGGAGCAGCTTGGTGACCGCTCTGCCACCAGAAGAAGAAGAGATGCAGACTGACTGGAAATGGCCAGAAAGATAGGGAGAGGATCAACCCGGGTCAATGGTATAGGGCTGGAGCTTGGAAAGTAGTTGAGCATGAGAAATGACCTCGAAACATTTACAGGGATCCAAGAGGCACTGGAGTGAGAGACGACCACGATGCATGTTGAAAAAGATGCGGTTGATCACGGTGAGCAGGGTAATCTCAGTGGAATGACGGGGACGGAAGCCATGTTGGGATGAGGACAGAATATGACTGTCGGACATGGAAGTGAACCCCTGGCGTTGGACCACATGCTAGACAATCCTGGCCATGATTCCCAGAAATCGAGAAAATCGCAGGAGGCGATACAGGTGTTGATATGGAGAAAGATAGGGCCGATGACGTCCAAAACGGAGGAGCAGGATGCGAATGCAAACGGCATCAGATCCACACGCCCCGGAATGTTTCATGGAGAACATGACCTCGTGCAGCCCGCCAAGGGCCGTGCCAGTCACCCGGAAACCACAAGCGCCCACCCTGGGCGTGCGACAGAGGACGTCAGGTGGCTGTCCGAGACAGCCCGGGCTGGCTGCAACACGGGCCGACGTTGACAAAAAAGCATACATCTCGTCCGGGGTCGCGACTGGGAGATTGCGAGCACTGCTCTTTTTCCCCGCTAACAGCGGACGGGTAATGCGGTGCAGAGAGTCGCCCCCTGCTCGCGTCGCCTCTCCTCGATATCCGCCCGGCAGTCACGCCTGGTCGCCGACCTCACCTTCCGGCCCATTTCGCGGGAAGCCGGCGATCTCCCCTCGTGACGCAACCCGCCACGAGGGTTGCGTCACGCAACCCTGTGCCATGAGGTCAAGGGTCACCAGGTGGATTCCTCAATGACATTAGTTTGATCGGAGCGTGTTTGCCAATGATTGGTAGAAGACAACCAAGCAAATGGAGCCCACATATCAGCGACTAATGGGCGTCTAAAAACACCGGACCAGTCGACATGGTATAAATCACGAAGCAAACAAACATGGTCAGTCCCTTTCAACGGTCGGGTATGGATACGGAGAGGCTTGACACGACACTTTGGCAAAACTGAGAGCGTGCGAAATGGTGAGGGCTTACAGCGCAGTGAATGGCTTCAACATGCTGAGCGACCTTATCTCAATTAGAAATGGCTGCGTCTAAAGGCGACCTGGAAGAAAAAGTAGATTATCGGACAAACTGGTGAAGATGAAACGATCGAAGCATTTAAATCATTTAACCGGTCCTTTGTAACGTTATCAGCAGGGTCCAGTAACCAGCAATTTAAATCCCCGATGATGACGAGCTATCCGGAGTAGTGTAGAAGTACCCGCTGATATCGCAGCTCCAGTTCGTCGAAGTCCGCCTGCAGGGCAGTCCACGGGCGTAGGAACAGCGGGCCAGGGAGCCATGCCCCCCCCCCCCCACTTTTCAAGGTGGGGGGACAGCAGCGTTAGCTGCCCCCCCCCCCCCCCAACACACACACACTTTTCATACTAAGGTTGTGTTTAGCTTACTTTTGCACCACCTTTAAATATGCATGCCGCTTTGCCTAGTTCACCAGCCATTTTCCTCAACATGCGTCATCTTTTTCGTTTGCTTATTGGCCCTCGCTTAATGTCACAGCCGCAGACCGACGCCACGCGGCCTATAGAGACTGCAACGCCGGGCGTTCAGGCCGTTGTTGCTATGACTTGCGAGTGCGTATGTTCAAAACCATGTTACATAGTTTTTATCAGTAATCAACTCTGACTGAATCTTGGACATTTCAAGACGCACATGGATTAGCCATGTTAATACAAGCTTAGGACCCATTTCATCTACAATCTACGTTCAGGGATTCTCCATCTCTGAAGAAAACAGAAAAACATGGAGCTGGAGCATGTGTGACAATTATTGGACCACCTTTGGCAATCAGGGATGTTGTTGCGTCAATGAGGATTCCTTTGCTGATCCGGGGCCAACTGCGTGGGTCAGAAGGCCTCCCGTGTAAGGGAGGGGGGCAATGTGATATGGTATATCCTTCCAATGGCCTCCGGATCGACCAGGAGATCCCGCCCCGTGTAGCTAGAACGACAGCCAGAAGACGCTCCGCGATGGGACGGGGCGGCCCCTCAGCTCTTGACCGGAACCGGTAACGTGCCCTTGGTGTTCTACTCAAGTGGCTCCTTTCCCGGAAGGAAATAAGGGGCCTCATTATTGTTGA